GAAGCCGAAGGCCCTCATGCCAGTGGAGTGACGAGCAAGTTTCAAGATACGAAAGATTCGCATCAGCTTGACCACTTTGAGCACCTTGCTGACCTTACTGACTCGCGACATGGCTTTCAGATCTTCTTGTGCACTAGCATCTTCTGCATCTATAACAAATGTCTCAAAGATTATCTGGAGAAAGTAGGGCATGACAGCGACCACATCAACAAAATTGAGGGCACTCCTCAAAAAATGTTTGATGTTGGATGTGGTGACTAGACGTAAAAAGTATTCTAGAGTGAAGAAGAGGATGGAAGCAATCTCCACCCATTCCATGAAGGTTTTGCCTGCAACTTTGTATTCCCTAAGTTCCTGTACGGTGTTCATTGTCATGGCAACAATGGAGATGAGAACAAAAAGACTGGAGAACACAGCAAAGGCTTTGGCTGGTAGGGAGGAGTATGGATTCTCCATCAAATCCCAGAGAATCTTTCGCAAACCTCCTAGAAACATGATCTTGTAGCATTCATCATCCTGGTGAGGTTTAATCTCATCAATCAGCTCCTGGTTAACCTTCAGTTGGTCTCTAATGTCATCCACCTTCTCCTCAAATAATATCCGACAGCACCTGAGAATGACATTTTCACAAGAGTACATTCCTTAGCTCTCCTTAAAATACACACACAACAACTAACAATAAAGGTTTTGAATACAAAGCACATAAAGAATACCTTGGAGTGTCTTTCAGTTTCAGCCCCCAGAATGACATCTCTTCCTCAAAGTTGACAGGACAGAGGCTGTCCATCACCCAGAGGACATTGCTGCAGTAGAAGTGAAATATGTAATGGAAAAACATAGGATCTCTATCAAAGAAGAACTCATTGCTCACAACGTTATAATCATCACAGAGAGTGAGCCGCTTCACCGGATCATCACACAGAGCAAGGGTTCCGATCCTGGTCCTTGGATATCGGAGAGCCAAGTGCTTTGGGATGTGGAATATTTTTCCACCTATATTAAGGTTGACAATGTTTGATCTTCTTGGGTTGGGCAAATCTTCCGCTTTTATTTTTTTCCCATCTGGACTGTCGAGGTTGTCCATCGAAGTCCATGGTTTTACCGAGCTGTCCTGTGAAAAAGGAAATACATATTCTTCTTCTTCTGCGCTCTGTGAAAAGCTCAGATCCCGCTTCACACTGGCAAAAAGACTGGAGCGACGCTTTTTCAACGCCTTCAGCTTGGGTTTTATGGCTGCCATTGTGCCCGCTCCTTAGCAGTACAACCAGTTGAAGGTTTTGTGCCAAGTTAGGATCAAGTTGATGAAAAACCACAAGAAAATTCCATAAGAATCACATAAGCAAAATATTATACGTCAAAATCATCTTGCCTGTGGGTGAAATACAGCTGAAGAAAATGATACCAATCTTTTGAGTCAGAGAGCATGAAGATCAGCAGCATATGTTAAGGATTCAGTGCCTTTCTGATTCTGTAATCCTATTGATGTTCTCTCTGTCCCAGAGCAAGTTAAAAATACTGTTCACTGGGATTAGTACTGTGATTTAGGGCTTTGAGTTCTCAGAGCGCAAGAAGGCGGAAAGAGTGATGTGATGACAGTATTGCTGACAAGGCTACGTACTGTACATGCTAATGCCACAGATATGAACTGTAGTCATTGTACAATTTATTCCCTTTGTTAAACTGATAATATCATATTGAATGTATGTTTTAAAGTTAATATGAAGAAAATAACTTTGAATGACTCACTTCTATTCATATATACATAAATAAAAGAGTGTTACACTGCTCTTAAGTTCTTTCCATTTTCAATTGGATACATGTGAAGTCTTTGACATGCCCATTGTAGCTATTTTACTTAGTTTTTCTAAAATCAATTAGCAGTTTCAATGGCTTTGTGTTTGGGACTCATGTTGGAAATTCATTCTCATTTCCAACATGAGAATGTACCAACATACTGAAATGTCTCTCCCCAGGAGCAACAGTCAAAAGCAACGTGCAACTACAGGTAAAGCAATCCAGACTTTTCAAAAGTGCTATGTAGTTGTATTTTATTCAAGCTGCAGTACATATTTTAATAAAAAATATTTTTTCTCCATATTTGTTAAAGATGTCACCATGTCGTAGCAGTTTGTTATAAGACAGATAATCTATGAAAACAATCAATCTCCTCCACCTCCTTCCTGAATTACTATTACTGGTTAAAGTAATGCATCGTTCTGACCAAAACAACCAATCAGAACTAGTAGGATTCCCTTAGAGCTGTCAATTAGCCTCATTCACTCACTGCTAAATGTGCTAATGGTGGAGAAACAACTTATTACAAGAAACCGTTTATCTGCCATCATTGGTAGCTATGCTAACTAAGCTGAGCATTCACAATTTGAATCTGCACAGCTCTGTGCTATGCTAGCTGCAGCACGGCACAAATCGAGGGGAGGAAGGATGAGCAGCACCACATGAGATTGTGATTGACAGCACTAAAACTCTCCTGCCACTGACTGGTTGTTTCTAGCACTGGGAGAAAGCAGAGGAAATAGATTTTTCACACATTACCTCTCATACCATACTGTCACAACATAATGACAGTTTTAAAAAAAATATGTGAAAAAAAATATTGAAATAAAAGTTACATACTGCAGCTTTAATTTCACTCAGGAGAGAACAGGTCAGGAGGGGCGTGGGTTTAGAGCTTCTGCTCACTCACTCATCTGTTAAGTGGTAAAGGGCACAGGGAACAAGTTAAATATATGAATATGTTGGTATTTTTTTTCCTTAATTCATTAAATGCTAGTGAAATGGAGGCAAACAGTAGTCTGTAGCTAAGCTAATTATGCTAAATGGTTGATAATGTCTCACAGTCTACCCACCTCTCTTGGAGAAAAACTGGGTTATAAATTAACACTCTTGCCTTTTTCTCTCTTTCCCTCTCTCTATTTTGTTTTTGAAAACCTGATTTTATAACTTTTCTTAGCAGCATAGTAACTGCCACAGTTGTTTCGTGGCAGCTGCATTCAGCTGCAGCTTCTACTGACTGTAGCTGCGTACGTCACTGTTAAGCGCTCCAAGCAGGAACAAACCATTTAACGCAGATAGGGAGTAGTTCAGGGCAAAAACGAATGTGTGTTCTTTGGTCTGGGAGGGACAACTTTAAATTTTTACTGCTGAAAACAATCTTTGAAAATACAATATGATTAATTTTGTATTTGACAGGACTCCGATTTTTTTTAAATTTTATTTCTATGAACAAAATATAAATAATTAAATTGTGGAGGGCCCCCTGCTGGTCAGGGCCCCTAGAATCGTCATCACTTTTCACCCCTTTATCGTGCCTCTGATGTGGAGTCTCGCAAGGCTCCATACTTGGACCCCTTTTTTTCACTGTATTTACTTCCTTTAGGATCTATTCTTCGGAAACCTGGTGTGAACTTTCACTTTGATACTGACAGCCAAATCTATGTTCCACTAAAACATTCTTGAGCTAATTCCTTCAGTGCATTGCAGAAGTCAAAGCATGGATGTCTTTGAACTTTTTACATTTCAATGAGCAAAAAAACCGAGGTTTACATCTAGCAGCAGTTCTAATGCCCATCGATATCTGTGTCCGTTAAATGGAGCATCTTACTCAGACTGCAACCAACCTTCGTGTTAGGCTGGACAATGATTTTAAACTCACTACCCAGACTAATTTAGTAATCAAGCCCAGCTTTTATCAACTGTGCCAAGTGGCCTAAGTTAAGCCTTTTCTGTCACATTACTTTGAGATTTTACTCCATGCTTTCATCACATCTCACTTAGATTACTAAGCGAGATGTCACTCACTACTGATATAAGAAAACAAGAACACATCACTCCTGTATTAAAATCACTTAATTGGCTCCCAGTTTGTTTCCAGATTAATTTTAAACTTATTTTGTTTTTGAAAGTTTTCATGGTCTCGCCCCTGAGTACCTGTATGATTTGCTGCAGTTGCACGTTCCCTCACGCTCTCTTACATCAGCAGATCAGTTGTTGTTGATTGTTCCTAAGTCAAGCAGGAGGCTGAGAGATGATTGAGAGTTTTCAGTTGCTGACCCTAAACTTTGGACTGAGTTGCCTTTGAAATTCAGAGAGGCCAATTCGCTTCTTCATTTTAAATCTTTTCTTAAATCGTTTTTGTTTCCTTTGGCTCTTGACTCACCCTGAGGTGTTGTCTTTAATCTCTTAATGGTTGTTAATGTCTCTTATTTGTTTTAGCGTACAGCACTTTAGACAATGCTGTTGTTTTAAAGCCCTTTATAAATAAATTTGTATTGTATTGTGAAATTATTAATGACTTTTAGGTCTATCCAGCAAAAAAAAAAACACTTGTGAAAATGGTTTGATAAAGGTAACAATACCTGCACATTTTGTGAAAATTATACTGAAACAACCGACCACTTCTTTGTGCAACTGTTAAAAACATTTGGAGGTTACGGACAAGATTGGTCAATAACATAGTCACCCATTTTTCTTTGTAGAAATTACATAACTTTTGGTCTATTTTTTTCTGTTTAAAGAACAGAAACTCCATATTAATGTTATTAAGACGCCAAAATGTCCACCTAATTTTATACACATTGCAAATTAATTCTAAAAACCAAAGAACGAACCATACACGGATTTCAAACGTTTGAATAAAAACTATTTTCTCTTTTGAACAATATTTCCGATAACTAATATGTTAATTTTAATGAATAAAACGAGGGAAAAAAACGTAAAAATATTAGCAGAGAAAACCCTTGTTTTGTTCAAGGCTTATTTTACTTTATTTACGGTAACACAAAGTTTTTCCGGTACCGGAAACGGAAGTTGAAAAGTCAAATACTAATTTTAAAATATACATGTTAAGGTTTAGAATTCGTCTGTTCGATAGACATTTGCATGCATTCAAAATTATTTTAATGTTATATATAACTCTCTTATTTAATCTAAAAACAATAATCAAGAAGGTTTACGTCTAACTTCGAAGTCCCAGTGTGGATATATGCGCTCCTCGCACCACGTGACTTCCTTTCTGGTAAAACCTGACAACATGGACGCCAGCCGCGTGCAGCCGATCAAGCTTGCTAGAGTAAGAAAACCCATCAGACTGTTGTAAAAATGTCGTTTGTTTGGACTTAAGTTTTTATGAATACATGCTGACTCAGTTGGTAACAGTATTTTAAGGCTAAGTAAAGTTTTTTTTTTAGTTAAATGGAAAGCAACTGTTCTGATGTCGCGCTTCCATCATGGAGGCCTGTCCGTGCTACAGTTTCTTGTCTGCGGGCTTATGTTTCCACAGTATGTTTGTGTTTCAGGTCATAAATGAAACTGTTTTATTCATGTTCCCCTATGTTTTATTTTCTAGGTCACAAAGGTCCTCGGAAGAACCGGTTCTCAGGGCCAGTGTACACAGGTATGTTAGCATTGTTCTCCACCGGTTAGCTTCTTGAATTTATCCCGACTGTAAAGAAGACTGCAGCAGTGTATTTATACCGAGTCATGCCACGAAGCTGAAGTTGGTTTCCAATTCCAGCTTCCAATAGCTAAAGGGCGATTCCACTTAATTTTTCACTACTTTCCGCATCTTTAATCAACTCTAGTTCAAAAACTACTACACCTAGACATTTGAAACATGGACTGGATTATTCTCTTCTTCAAGCTGAGTATATAAGTCCTTGTTTGTAATTTGTGAAACCTTTTCCTGATTTGTGAAAACTCAATAAAGTTTGATAATCACCTTTTTTTTCCATCTGGATCATCTGCTCTAATTAAAAAAAACTACCACAGCTAGATACTTCAAACTTGGACCAGATTATTTCCAATTAATAGCAGAATATTTAAAACCATGTTTGTGATTTGTGAAACCTTTTTCTGATTTGTGAAACTTCAATAAAAGCTGATTTTGGACATTTTTTGGATATTGGTCACCCCAGCTCCAAAACTACAACACCTAGACTCTTCAAACCTGGACTATATTATTGTGCTCCAATAGCAGAATATTTTAATCCATGTTTGGAATTTGTGAAACCTTTATGTGATTTGTGAAACTTCACTAAAGATCAGATTACTATTCATACATGTTCCATGCAGTTTTTTTCAAATTCAATTATAATTCAAAACTACTTTATTAATCCCAATGGGAAATAAAATGTTGTTGTAACTCATTAATTTTTCAACAAGTTATTGTAGATGGCGATGGCTGTTGGAAGGAAAAATCTTTTGCAGGGGTCTGTTAAGTGAAGTTTCACAAATCACAAACATGATTCTAAATATTATACTATTGGAGCAGAATAATTTAGTCCGAGTTTGAAGAGTCTAGGTGTTGTAGATTTGGAATTACAGCAGTTCTCATGTGACAGAGATTTTTTTTTAAAAAAGTGGTGATATTGCACTTTTTGGAAGTTTCACAAATCAGAAAAAAGTTTCACAAATACCAAACATGGTTTTAAATATCCAGCTTGAAGATGAGAATAATCCAGACCAAGTTTCAAGTGTCTAGGAGTTGTATTTTTTTAATTAGAGCAGTTCTAGTAATGAAAGAGATGCCCAAAATGGTGATTATCAAACTTTATTGAGTTTTCACAAATTAGGAAAATGTTTCACAAATCACAAACATGGTTTTAAATATTCTGCTATTAGAGCAGAATAATCTTGTCCAAATTTGAAGAGTCTAGGAGTTGTATATTTTTAATTAAAGCAGTTCTAGTGTGATCCAGATGCCAAAAAATTGTGATCATCGAAATTTATTGCGTTTTCACAAATCAGGAAAAGGTTTCACAAATCACAAACAAGGTTTTATATATTCAGCTTGAAGAAGAGAATAATCCAGTCCAAGTTTCAAGTGTCTAGGTGTAGTAGTTTTTAAACTAGAATTGATTAAATATGTGGAAGGTAGTGACAAATTAAGTGGAATCACCCTTTAGCTATTGGAAGCTGGAATTGGAAACCAACTTGGTAATCATATTCACCATTGTTAAGCTACAGTATTTAGTGTCAAGCAGCCCCAGTATTTACCAAGTTGTTTGGTCCAAAATTAAAAAGAACTATAATCAGTAGAGCTGCACTAATGATTATTTTAGTAATCGAGTATTTTATTGATTATTCTGACAAATAGTCGGGAAAAATATTTTTCATTTAACCACTTTTTATACAATATTAGTAATTGATAAAAAATGCAAATTAAGATTTAATTTCTGCAGTACATGCAGTAAGAACCATTCCTTAGTGAACATGTGATCATTCATAGCAAAGATGCATCTGCGGCTTTGCAGCCTCCGGCCACACCATGTGAGGCTCCGACCTTTTTTTTTTTTTAATAATAATTTAATTACAAAGAATGTGTGTGACAATATAATTTATCCAATTGACCATGACTTTTTCCATCTCATAGTTTTCCATCAGCTTCTGGTCATTTCACTCCTTTGCCACTCCAACTGATATTTTTGAGAACTTTTGTTGGCTTTTGGGATTTTATTTTCCAATTGTAAAATATCTTCAGCCATCACAGTAAACATCCTCAGTTGAACTCATAGAATATCCTGTTTTCATTCTATATACGTCAGAAATATTTACTCAGTTGAAGTTCAAAGTTCACATGATTGTCATCTGTCATGACTGGATCCAAGGAAAGCGTACAGTCTAGGGCGTCACAATGCTATTAAAACTTTTTAAAATTGCTGATGCCTTTAGATCTGAAGACACCTGGTCGCTTCAAATCACTCGGCAAACTCTTCTGTTTCAAACAGAGGGTGAAAAATTTAATTTTTTAATTAGGCTTTTAAAAAATTTTATTTTAAAAGCCTAATTAAAAAATTAA